GTGGTCGGGCCCAGGGGCATCCAACGTGCAGAGGAAGAGATGACACGAAACGGCGAAGACACCATGGGAAGAAGAGTGGGGTGCCATCCACTTCCGTGTGAATGTGCTTGTCAGAGTGTATTTTGAGTTATCTTTTATCAATCATTGTAACTTCGCACAGATCTGTCGCTCAATCAAAAGATCGTGCTGACTACAGCAGAAAGTTCGACCGAACGACTGCAGCAGATTTGTCGACCTCCAAAGTCGGACTGGCGAAATTGGTCTCCCACATGGTCGTCCTGAGTCTCGTCCTGATGTTATAGTGGTCCCCAATAATAGATATAGAATGATATAGAAATGGTTTCCCAAATTACTTTTCGTGGGGATCCACTTTTCATCTATTTGCGGGTCTCTCTCTCTCTCTTTCTATGTACATTTTTGATCTTTTTTGGAATCTAACAGAGAGGTTTGATAACACCAGGTCAGGTCGATACTTTTTTGCTCCACTAGATATATATCTAAAGCATGCCGTAAGTTGCCCCGTCAACCTCTGTACGGAACTGGATCTGGAACTGGAACTCCCCCCTACCCCAAAAAATCGCCACCATGTTTGGAACTGGATCTGGAACTGGAACTCCCCCCCCACCCCAAAAAAATCGCAACTACGTTTGGAACTAGAACTGGAACTAGCGAACCTGTTCGTATCCGCTGCGCGTCCATGCATGTGGGCCAGGCTGTTCCGTGTATGATGCTTGTTTTCATCCCACCATCCGCTTCACCCACAGATGCAATCAGATGCAAGCCACACGTGCTTGTTATCCGACTGCCTGCGAAGTCCACACATGCCCTGGGTCATTATGCTTGCAAGGCCTTGTTTTTCCTCTCCATCGAAAGAAACATGTATATATCATGTGGTGCAGTCTGAATGCTCTCGAGCAGAGGGGAGAAACATGTTACATGGCATGACCAAGTAAAGTCGCCCGACCAAAGAACCTGTTGAGGGCAGAAACCAAGTGTCAAAGCTAGGCATCTGTCAGAATATAAGAAATACATGCGAGCGTCTAGGTCTGGATCTGGAACTGGAACTGACTCCCCCCTGACCACTCTCAAATTGGATCTGGAACTGGAACTGGATCTGGAGCTGGAACTGGAACTGTTCCAACCACCTGGGGCACACTCTGAACCTCTGAGGGTTGGCCAGTCAGACAGTCTTTGGCATTGGTTTGCCTGGTTTGGGGATTTTCCGGGTAGAGCCAGAGCATACTTCGGATTGCTCAGGACCAACGATTCGTCAACGGACAGGGCGGAATCATGAGAACTCCAGCAACAAAAGACCACGTCAGAAGGCTGACCGGCAGGGTCCCTTGAGTTCTGCAACATGTTTGTGCATGTTTGTGAGCTCGTGTCTGAGGTTTCTTGAAGCGGCAGCGCTGAGTTGTGAGTGATGGATACGTCGTATACATACTTCCAGTCGCAAGGACAGGACATAAGTCCAATAGACATAGGTTTCCGAAAGTCGATTCCTGGAAGCACCTCACATGTGGGTCGGATTCAAGGCATGTCTCCAATTGGATTCGCCTCGGGTATCGTTCTTGGCGAGTGGACCGATCAGTGGCTTCGCCAAGCGGAGGGTGGAGTCGCATTCTCAAAAGGAGGCAACGAGACAACCATATATGATTCAAAGACAAAGACTTTGACAATCATATTGTTTGGATTGCGGTTCAAACACTCAACATCATTTTAAGGTGAATATGTAAAATTATCTATTGTTAAGTTCTATTATGTCAGTAGTAGTTATATGTAGTTATGTAAGTGGAAGAAGCTTGGCGCCTATTTGCCCTGGATGCCTCCAAGTCCAGGTCCAGGTGGTTCGTACAGCCAATGTTAGCGTATTTGTCCGGGGCATGACTGGTTCCCTTCCAGCCAAGCAGCCTTCCTGAAGGAGTACAATGAATTTGGCGTGGAAGGCAGCCGGTCAGAGCACTTCCCTTTGCCTGGAACCGCAACAATCGTTGCTTGGTGATCGCTTCGCACCAAATTGCTTCAGTGTCAGTGAGAAAGATGGCAAACTTGCGCTGATACCTGGTGCATCCTGGTGCCATTGCCGGTGACACCCTGGGGGCGCTGGGGGTTTGAACGAAGACGGTATAGGATCTATCACTTTGAACACCTTTTCTCTTGATCTGGTAGACGTTTGACGAGGTTATGCTCTCATATCCCCCTCACGTCCATAGCACGCTTCCACATCCCTTCACGCTCTTGGTATCAGGCATTATGCGGACCCGTTTAGTATATCGCACCTGATCACTGCCATATCAGGGTCATGATGGGGTTTGGAAGAGCCCGGACCTTTACTGATACATCCAAGTGGTCAGTGGTCCATTCCGGAAAAGAGACAATCCTGTGCCACCTGGAACAAGAAGTGCTATCCGGTTTTCACGAAAGTGCCTCCCCCAAAGAGAGAGCTGATTTCTCTTCATACACTTATCTCGAAGACCGAGTATTGGTTAGATGTCTGTTTACTGTCTACCCGTTTCTTGAAGCATGTTCGAACTCCGATCTGGCAGGTGAAGCGGGAGGGCCTGATCCGAGACCATTGGCTCATTTTTGGCCTCCCAGCACAATTTGGGAGCCCGGGCCGAAAGTTGGATCCATGTGGGGCTGAACAGTCCAGGATCTTCATGCAATCCGTCATTCGAGGTCGTATTTACAGTATAGTTCTTTGGTTTCGTACAGGGATTTAGTTACACTGAAGTTGTTCCGGTGGCTCATCATCTTTGCTCTCAACCGCAACTCGACGTCCGGATTCCACACGACCGGGATTCTCTTCCCGGGGCGACGTGTGGATCACGGCGGGATCGAACGAACCCGCTGGGATCGGAGAGGCGCCACAAGGTTGGCGGCGAGTCCAAGCGAGGATAGACGGACAGCCCGCGTAGGAGGGCAGCATCGTTTGCGTGGTCCACTACACCCTGGAAGACGATCCCATGGACCCTGAAAAGCACTGGTTGGTAGAGGAAAACACCCTTCCAGGGGGCCATTGTCAGGGTCTATGTTAGTTTTCGGGAGTGTACTATTGATGGTGCTGCCCTTGGAAGAGGCGCTTTGAAGAGTGAAACTGTACTCATGTCAACAGAACAGTGGACCCCGTCTTGTGTGGCTTCCAGCCCCACCCATATTCTCTTGAAACCTGGCAGAAAGTGGCCCAATTGTCCAAGCATGCTTTGCCTCAGGCACTGGGCTCTTTATCTTCAAGACCTTCCCTTTCTTCAACTATTACTTTGGCCTGAGACCCAGTCTTTTCGGCTCACTTTCCGTTTTCGTAGAGTCAAAAACATATGGAGCTGAGATCTGGGACGAAATGGATGCTTTCAACTCTTTGGAGATCTGAGATCGTGAGATCCGGATAGATCCGGAGGATTTGGAGATTCTTTAGGCTTCTCTATGGCTCTGTGCTGGCAGTCCATACTTCTTGGGGTTCTTTGTGTAGTCTCGATCTATTTTACTTCAGCTTGACAAAGACGGGTGTTTGTTCCGTCTATTTTTCTCCAGAACCAGGACCTTGTTTCCATCTAAAGACCACACGACCACTCGACCACCAAGCTTTGCAGGTTTTTTGGCCAAGTAGAATGGGTCTGCATCACCTGGACCTTACATGAGAACACCAATCAACTGGAGATCACTAGAAGCCAATGTGTCCTTTGTAGCTGTTTATGCGCTTTTGATGCTATCTTGCTTATCAATACAGTCTATACATCTATACATTCAACGTTTCTGTCTACCTTTGCCCCTACCTCTATGTCGGTCCTCATCAGGGTCCCCAGGTGCCTCTGAACCTTTGTGCCTGTGCCTCTGCCTGTCCTCTGTGCTGCTCCATTCTCCTGTCTCTGTCTTTGTTTCTTTGTTTCTCTTTTTCTCTTTCTCTTTCTTTGTTTTGTTTTTTTTTTCTCTCTCTCTCCCTCTCTCTCTTTCTCTCTCTCCTTTTCTATTTTGCCCTGTCATCTGTCATGTCCCGGTGTGTACCTCGGACCGCTTTGAATCAGTATCTTGAAAAAGGGTCACCGACCCAAACAACGTCACCCAACGAATGGGATTCTCGCACACCGGACGGTCACAAGCGTCACGCTTGCGCTGAGGTGTGAAAGTCTTTGGCACCTCCATGTCGCTTTGAGATCAAATATTCAGTTTGTCTGCATGGATGAGGTTTTTAATGGTTTTTAGAAGGTTGAAGGATGTTGAATTTGGATTTGGATGGAGGAAGGATCATTTGATGATAGTTCTTGGAATGGAAAAGGAGACTTTGAGCGTGCTGCAAGTGGAGTGAAAAGACTCAAACGACAGATCCCCCTCAAACTGGCTTGAACATGGATCCCAGCTGATGTCGCCCAGTCTCACTGGGCGTCATTATATAGGCGTTATCATCTCAAATGACATCCTTTTGGAACATTGGCATCCATGCAATCCACAATTATATAATATTATATAAGACTTTCACCCACCTGGTAGTTGCGTAATGGGACCAGTTTGGAAGTCTTTTTGGTCTTAGGAGAAGTCAGGCTGGCTTGCAAAAGATATCAATGATATTTTCATGATCCTTAGACCTTCCTGGGACGGACATGGATTGAAAGTTTTGTCTTCGATGTTGACATGTCACACATAGCACTTTGAAGAGCCACTCCCAAAAAACAAACGCCACTTTTGGGGATTGAGAAAGATGAGAACGATTGCTCTTGTGCTTTGGTGTGCCATTCAGCTCAAAAACCCGATAAACCTCCAAGATGTATTCTAGTTCTAGCTCGAAACTTGTATACAGGTGTACTGATATCTCCCAAGGCTCAAAACCGGCTGTAACAAGCCTCCCATTCGTGTTTGTTCCCTGTCGAGATGGTGTTGGATGCCGTCCACCTCTTTTCACATTCTTTCACCGTTTTCACCCGATCCCACCGCTCGGGACACCGAGCAGCACTCGTCCGGCTCAAAAAAAACGTCCTTCGTCGCATGTGGCGAGGTGGTGCTGGACCATGTGGCACGTCCTCAACCGCTTCATCGCCAAGACCACCCGCCGGAACGAGTACATGGCGGCGCAAAAGACCGCGCAGGAGGCGAGGCATAAGAGGCCTTGGGGTGACCAAGGTGTACAAGGTAGATGTCGGGGTCATTGTATGTCATTCTAGAACACCATGCGACATCTTTTTTTGGATGTTTTTTTGGGGTTTTGGTTTGGTAGAAGATCATGTGGGACCATGCCATCATAGAACAGCTTGGTGTTAGGGTCTTCCTTTGGTTTGCCTTTGGGACCCCTCCATGTGGAGTCCCCAAGACGCTGCTGCCCCGTCCCCAGCTTGCTGCCCCAGCTTTCTGCTCCCGCTCATGAAGACACAGGTCATGGAAGGCGAAGACAAGATCGTGGAATCCATGCGACGCTTCGCCAACGACGCCAAGTGCGTGGAGTATTTGAAGACCTTCAAAGAGGCCGAGCAGCGCAGTTGAGGGGGGATCCGAGCTGAGTTGGTGTGATTCAGCTCGGATTTCTGACCCCACCACCACCTTGGTGGAGTAGGGTTCACTGAAAAATATGTTTTTCAAAGAATTCAATCATATTCAATCTCAATTCTTCTGAAATATGATAGAATATATTAGAATATAATAGAATGTATTATTATAGATTAAACATGACTAAGCTATAAGATTCCCAGTTTGGTCGGGGATGGACGTGTTCATCAAGCACCCATTCTTCGGAGTGCTCGTACCTTCGAGGACTCCGAGTCCAAGATCGCTGCGTACCGCAAGGCGCCAGAGGGCCTCCGTGTCGACCGGGGGGGTGTGAAAGGCCTGACGTCGTGCGGGGACGTGAGACGTGAGCTGAAAAGGTTGTGTTTGTGATTTTCAGACTTGGCAAAGACTGAGTTTGGGGTGAAGAGTGGTTTCGACTTGCATGATCGTGGAGTCGCGCGTGGCTTCCAGGCTTTTTGGTTTCCGGAGCGTGATCCCATCAACTCACCGGAGCTGTGTCAGGTTCACCGACAAGCGGCGTGTTCGGCGTATCGCGTGGGGACCGAGGGACGCCGGGAGGCGCTGGTGGTGAAGATGCAGGAGGATCTCACCGAGCGTGCGAGTAAGCAGCTCCAGGCGATTGCCGCCTTCGAGGCCAGGACATTCCTATAAACTCTTGAAGCCTTAGGCTTCGTGTTCAGGAGTTGTCTGCTCTTTTTCCTGTTTTACCATGTGGTGGGAGACCTGGGCTCCGTCGAAGGCTGGCATGGGCTCAGCGATGCAGGATTTGGTAGTGCGAGAGGCGTGGTTCTCAGATGTGCTGACGGTGTGCATCGATTTGATGGGGAGGTGGAGGTGCAGCAACCCAGGAGAAGTGGGTGAACCTTGAGCCTTTCTGGTGAGTTCGTGTGCCCCTAAAGATGAACACCTAGGACCATCCTAGACCGTTCAAGGCGTCTCTGATCTGTGACAGTGGTGTGGGGTAGTCACGGGTAGTCCAGCCAGGTGACCCAGACAGGATGGTCCTGAGATGCATTTTGATTGCTACTAGTAACAAGTGCCACGCTAGTAGTAACAAGTGCCTTACTAGTAGTAACAATGTTTGCTATTAGAATTAACATAGAATTAAATTCTAATTAAATTCGCTTCTTGTTACTACTAGTAAGGCACTTGTTACTAGTAGCGATGCACTTGTTCCTAGTAGCTTCATTTTCCCTTGGAACATGGCGGAGTTAATCTCACAGCCTTGGGGAAGTGAGCATGGACAGGACCCAGAAACTGGATGGCGTAGATTCCCCCGCTAGCGGAAAGCAATGGAACACCGACCTGAAAACCACACCTTGCAAGTAGATCAGGATTTGCCTGGAGGCTTGCAAGCTTCAATCCCTTCCTTTTCGCCTTTAAGGCTTGGCAGCGACAAAAGGCCGTCCTTGATGGATCGTCTTCCCCTGCTGCACTGCTCACGACGGACGAGCCTATGGGGGAGTGAAGTGTTCGAGGACACCCTCCGGTTGGGTCTCAAGTAACTAGCATAACTCGGTCGAGGGCGACGATCGGCGCGGAGCAAGGCAGCGGCGTCCTTCAAGGAGAAATTCCCAGGTGACAAGGGCATGCAAGACAAGGCCGGGCGAGTTGGGTATAGTTGGGTGGAAATGAGCATCGATGGTTGGTGTATCAGTGGTTGGTGCGCCTTGGTGAATTTCATTTTGTCCACGTGCCTGGCACGTGCCTGGCGGCACGCCGTCGAATCGCTGCGTGGCCCCGAGGGCGTGGCATCCGTGGATTGATCGCTCCAACATAGTCACTACACTCTGACTCGGAAGTGGACAATGGGCCTGGAAGACCGTCCTCCTGTACAAATAAGAGTTTTCCGGTGATGTGTTCGTGGGAGTATATCCACATGAGGATTCATTGCTAGGTGCCCGGCAGTGTTTGGATCTGCTACTTGCAGCTATTTGCAGCTGAAAAGACTCCTGTCCCACCCGCGAGGCCTTCAGCGCTGCGGTGAAGGCGCTGAGTGGAGCAGCCGTGGAGGTGGCGGAGGAACCCCCGAGAGAGAAGCGATCGGGCGAGAGAAGCGATCGGGCGAGAGAAGCGATCGGGCGAGATCGGGCGTTCTTCTATTTTTGCGACGGGGAGGAGGTTTGGGCGAGGTGAGGGAGATCGGGATGCCAAGAACCACAACGGGCCGAGATCGGTGGTAACCAGTCGATGCGTGAGATTGCGTTGAGCGATAGGATCACCTCTCTAACATGAAAACCCGCTGAAGACATCTAATTATAGTGAAAGTAATTCCATGAGAATCCGCCTTTTTTTTGTTAGAGGAACGTAGTATTTTTTCTCCAGATCATGCAGACCACTTCCATGTGATGTGTTCGTCCGAGTGGTAATTCTCAAGTGCTTGGGGGAGCACTACGGGGCCTTGGCAGCTGGATGTGGTGCTCACGGCCTATCCTTACGGTCCCTCTAGCGAAGGACCCAGTGGCGAAGCACTTTGCAGACGCCTTCCAGCCTTTTGGATGTAAGCAGCGACCTGCATTAACCACAAGTAAATGTGACTATATATATATATGTAAAGTGACCTGAGCTTGGGTTGTAAATCTTGAGATCAACCAGAGGATTGTTCATGAGTTTTCCACTTTTGAAGTAAGTGTGAGTATTGGTTCCAGACCAATGAACTTGCTGAAGCGTGGAGCTGTTCCTGTTGGTGCATGTTCAGCGACAGGGCTGACCCCTTTTGGAGTTTGTGTTCCATTTGTTCCTGCTCCGGCAAGACAAGATAGGCTTTGCCAACAGCCGACCACTTGCGACCACATGCGACCCTCTTTCAGGTAGAGGGTGGGCAGGGCCGCAGGGCCCCGAGGTTCAGCCGGCCAAACAGATTTGTCTTTCGTACTCTGACTTCAAGAACGGTGATCAGTGCCTTTATCGTTTTGGTGCATGTCTCGAGGGTGTATATTAGTATATATTAGTTCTTGGTTTAACCCCAAGCGGGAGTATCGTTTGGTCGTGCTTCCTGCAGCTTCTGATGATTTTTTGCTGGCTCTCATGGTGGTTTCATGTGGTTTCCACCGTTGGCCTTTGGTGGCTTTGGTGGCTTTGGTATTTTTTAAGTGTGTAAGCACTTTCTTTTTTGTTTGATGTTTTCGTTTGTTTTGTTTTATCGAGCCTCCTCGACCAACACAAAATCCCGCTTGAAAGAAGCAATCTCGCTGCACTGAAATGATCGTTTCTGTTTCTTTCCTTTCTGCATCACACCCCTGCACCAGCTTTCTATCTTTCCTTATTTGTCCTTTCCTTTTCATTTTTCCTGGTGGAGCTCGTGACCAAGAAAGTAAGTAGTCCGCTTCCACGAACAAATTGATCCGCACTGAAAGCCCCATCTCCTGGCTTTAAAACAGAATTCCTCACCTGAACTAGGCTACCTCATCATTGAGCACACGCATGCAGAGGAAGATCATCAGCCATGAATCACTCCTCAAGATCATCAGCCTGCTTCGTTTCGGGAGCTCGACATATATCTATATTATTGATACTATTTATATATATATATATATTATATGTTCTTTTTTCTATATTCCGCCTGAAGGCGGCCCAGCTGAACGCCTGAGTTGGTTCAGATTGCTTCGCTTCGCACGGATCGAACACGTCAAGGTCCTTGCAGGGCGTGGACCTGGCAAGCTCCAAGGCCGACGCCAAGGGCTCGCCGCTTGGGCGATCTGAGGAGGTGAACGGCAAACGGGTGGTTCGGGGGCCGACCCAGGCCGTGACGGCGAACGCGGGCCGACCAGGTGATGAAAGTGATTTTCATCACCTGCGGGTGGCTTTGGGTTTTGCCGGGAAGGGATTTCACAATCGAATTGTATCTAATTGTAATGAACAACTTGTTTCAGACAAACTGTGGCACTGAGTGTTCCTGGGTCCCGCAGATGGGTGTGATTCAGATTCACATACTAGACTGTACTGTGTTTCTATGTGTTTTTTTCTTTTAAATATATGCTCATTGACATATGTCAATTTTGGGCGGCCCATGCATCATGAACAGGCCTCACACTGGACACTGGACTCGGCCACCCTTCACACTGGGCCCGAACAGAAGGACCAGAGAAACGACTGGGGGCCCTGGTGACTGGCAGCATGGCTCCCAGTCACAAGGGCTTTGAAGGGTCCGGCCACCGGGTGGCGAGGTCTGAAGAACTTCAGAAGGTGGTCGACGAGGTCTGAAGTGTTAAGAAAAATCGAAGTTGGGCAGTGCCATTCTTTCGACTTTTCCTGAGGTTGGCCGAACGTGTGGCCTTTGCCCAGCAAGCGAAAGAGAAGGAGTTCCAGGAGCCAGAGACCGGGCAAAAAGGCACACTTCAACATTCTGGTAGGATGACATCGCTGATCATTTTATCCATGTTGTATTGTCAAGCCAATGTCCTAGTTTTTTGACCAACTTCTCCACATGGCTTCCACTTCTCCACGTTATATTCCAGTGGTCCAACAATGGCGATCTCCCTTTTTTCAGACCAGGCTTTATGTCAACAATGACTGCTTGGTTCATATGGATTTACAGTGACTCACCGTGCAAAGCGCATTCCCTCTTGAGCCTGGTTTCTCAGAAACTCCTTTGGTGGTGCTTCTTTGATGTTGCCTTACTCTAAGTGACTTTTCAAGCGAGCACACTGGTGCAAAGAGACGATGTCTCCAGCGACGCAGCAACACGGAGGAACGAGAGAGACACCGATGAAGTTCGCCAGAGTCAGCAGTCCGGTTTTATCCCACTGGGCGGGCTCGGAAAACCTGTGTGCATGAGTTTACATAAATACATGTTGATATTGATAGTTTGTTCATTGCAGATCTTTACATATTTTCCTTTTTCAACAGACACATTTTTTTGCAGTGGCGGCAGTATCATGTAACCGTTGGGTCGCTGTCTTCTTTTGACTCCCCAGAGATTTCCGGTTCAGACATCGACCCAACAAACCCTTGGACAACAGCGCGCTGCTGCGTCGCGTGTCACAACTGACCTACCATGACCGATCCCCAACAAATCCCACTCAGGCTGAGGCCAAAGCTTATCCCTAAAGATGGTCACCCAAAGGGAAAGGGTCTCGGTTGTGACGCGTTTTTTTGTCTCGAATGTGACGCGGAGAGCTTTTCTCAGTTGTGACGCGGAGAGCTTTTCTTTTAGAGAATCTGTGTGCTTCTGGGCCCTTGCTTGGTTCTCATAAAGTCATAAAGCTCCAATCCAGCTCCATACCAATTCCACCAAATGCCACTCTAAACTCTGAAGCCCAACAACCTAATGTCCCACCCCACCCCTAAACCCCCCCACCCCCCCCACCCAACCTAATGCCCCACCCCACCCCACCC